GAGGAAATAGCAGGAAAGAACTGGATACAAACCGCCAAGGACAAAACAGCCTGGCATGATTGCGCTCGGCATGTGGGAACTATGAAAAATCCACACTCAAAAAGCCCGAGCAATCTTTGAATCAATCTTTGAACCAAAACCATGCAGTTTGATGCCGCCCTCAAAGTGGTCACATCATGCTTCAGATAAAAAAATTATAAATTGCCTTTATAATTTTTCTGCATATTTCTAAAAAAATCTTCAGGTGGTTTCTTAATTCGTATTATGTCGGTTGAGATAATCGTGTTGCCTCAATTTACTAGTGCAGTTTTTGAAATCTTTGCCATTTCATCCGATCCATTGCTGGATGAATACATCACCAAGACTTTGCCATAAAATTCTTTTTTCCGCAATTTTTATCCACCTCCATCCAACGTGCCTCTTCATTTCACTCTGTCATCGATCTGGAAATCTTCTTACCGCCGTTTATTCTCCGCTTTCTACTGTATATCGTAGGGCAGTTTTCCCACTCATCATCTGATGAGAACCTTGGAACATACCATACAAGAAAATCAATATGACAGAATCAAGGCAAAATTACTGATTCACACATCCTGTGTCAGTAAAAACCATGGAGACACGGATAACACGTTAACGACAAACAATTCACAAAAAAAACAAAAGTCAAACGAAAATTGAGGTACAGTAAATTAGAGCATATCACATTTTTCTTATCTTAATGTTGCTCCACAGACGAATAGGGCATAGTCCAAAAGGTCAACACAATAATTACATTTATTTAAATATAAGTTACCCGTTCACGTCTAAGAAGTTATTGCCACAAACATGTAGTACGATAGCATTCATGCTCATTTTCAGTGAAACCTTAGCAAAATCAAAAAATCTTAAACAGCATTTTAAATAGTGAAAATAATAAACGCTACGGCAGCAGACCAGTAAAATTTTCTACCTTACTCATCACATGATATTAACAATTCTATATACTTATGAGATGACCTTGATTGTTAAAAACCGGGTTTTCTAAAACGGCATAATATGGGTTTAATTCAACCTGATGCAGACATGATTAGCAGCCATAGTACTCTAATCAACGTGCAATCCTCTCTTCTACGAAAATACCAATACTGCTGAAACACGAATTCCGGCGATGAAAATCGGTTTAGGCATAACCGACCGACTTTGTCATTGTATGATGCGTGTATTAATCGGTTGAGCAAGCCGAACAGTGAGTGAAACCACTAACCAATGGTTAGAGATTCTGTGTAAATTTCAGCACAATCTACACGTTTTTCGCGTGGAAAGAGTCCACAGACACGTGCGATGGAGAAATATACAAAATTAGGAACCATTAATCAAGCGGCTGTGACCTGTACCGCAACAGTGAGCATCGTTTAATATCGACCTGAAACACCATTTCTAATCGTCAGTCATTATAAATGTTTGAAATGCTGCTGTTCAAACTCTGTGAACCTTAGATGACGATGACCATAAAACGACAGGACATAGTAGGTAAACAGTAACACAAGACGCCTGAAGATTTACATGAATGAACCGAAAGCAGCTAAGCATACTGCAGTGTCACCCGCGATAAAGTGAAACGAAAAAGCAGGCTGTCGTTAAAAAATACCATGCGTCCGTCGCTCGCATGTACGTTGACGTTGAACGGTGTTACCAGTGACAACAGCAGCTCTTCGTTACCGCTGCGAGCGGCCTCCAACATGTCTTCCTTTCTGTATTCGCCTGAAAGTGAACATTCGAAACAATTAAAAATAAGTACGGAACCTAAGCTAACCGGTCAGAACCGCTTTAGTACTCGGGTCGGCGATATCCAGCGCAATTTTACCATCCACGTTTGTCAAAGCCGAGTCAGCTCCGTTCTGCAACAACACTAAAAAACAGTCACGCGGTTCAGATATTTTTCCGAAGGTGAGGAGGCCACAACTCACATATACACACGTCAACCTTGCCCTTCATCGCCGCCTCGTGCAAAGGTGTATATCCCCACAGATCTTGTGCGTTAATATTTGACCGATGTTTCAGCAGCAGTGTGCAGACCGCCACGTGGCCAAACGAACAGCCATTGTGCAATGGAATCAAGCCGCTTTCGTCACAGACGTTTACGTCTGCACCAACTTCGATCAAGTATTCGCAGACTTCGTATCGACCGAAC